GTTGAGAGGTGTCTTCTTTTCTGCTGGATGGGCTTTGCCGTTGGATTGACCGCCAGCCGATGGACAACGATGCTTCGGTCAAGGCCAGGCATGTCCTCCAGTCCCCACGCGAAGACAACGCTAAAAAGGACAAGTACATGGATAATCTTCTCCCTCAAGCCGGCCGGGAGCCCGGTCCCGATCTTGACCTTCTGCTCCGGCCTCTCGGGGTCAATCTGGATCTCCTCCACTTCTGAGGTGGGTTCAGCGTGGAGCTGACCCTCCTCATACTTCATGGCTTTGCTGTTGATAGTGTGGACCCTCAAGTCTTTTTGACCGATTTGTTTACAAGCTTTCAGATAGCAGCTCCTCGCCATTCGCTGATCTCCCCTGGCAACTCCGACGCCATTCGGAGTGGGAAACTTCATGCATAGGTGCTCCTGGGATATCACACATCTGAGGTCTTCCAGGGTCGGCCTTCCCATGATGATCTTATGCGCACAAGTTAGGCGTACGATGATAAACTCGACGTCTAACTTGGATACGCAGGGCTCGGAGCCCACCATCACGGGGAGGACTATGCTTCCCTCCGACTCAATGGAGTCCCCGGTGAAGCCCGAGAGTGGGGTTCTCACCGGGATCAAGTCTTTTCGGTCTAGCCCGAGACCTTGGAAGGTGTCATAGTACATGATGTTAACGGAGCTCCCATTGTCCACCAGGACTCGGTGGACGATCGTGTCGTTGATTTCGACCTTGATGACCAAGGCATCCCTGTGTGGCGGAGGCATCGGTGGCAAATCTGCGTCAGTGAAGAAGATGGGGTCCCTCTTCACCCTTTTGTCGGCGGGAGCCCTGGTTATCTCCCCGACGTATAGGGCTCGGGCCCACTACTTCCGCTCTCCAGAGGTGTCGCCTCCCTGGGGCCCCCCGAATATGAATGAACATCGATGGTACTTCTGGGGGCCGTTCCCTAGGTCGGCATCGTCTTCCTCGGAGAAGGCGCCGAGCTCCCGCTTCTTGACAGGCGGTGTCTCCCTTGACGTGGTAGCTTGGTCGGACCGCTGCCACGTCAGGCTCCTCTTCTGCGGGATGCCTCCTTGTTTGCCGACGAATTGGCCCAGGTACCCTTTCTGGACGAGTTCTTCAATTTGCCGTCGGAGACTGACGCAATCATCTGTATCATGCCCTGCTCTCCGATGGAATCGACAATATTGGTCGTGGTTACGCTTGGCAGTCACCACATCACACTCCTCCGGAAAGTCGACTAAATCTTGCTCCTCCGCGTAGTCGAGGATGGCCCCGACCGGCTGAGCAAGTGGAGTCAATTGCTTGACGGGCTGTAGCGGTCCGCTCAGGACGTCCGCCTTGCCCTTGCCTCTACTTTTGTTACCTTTGTACTTGTTGTTTTTGTTGCTAGCTTTGCCGTCAGCTTTCTCAGCACCCGAATCGGCTTCCTTCTTCTTTTATTCTTTTGCACCTTCTTCCTCATCTCTTTTCCTCTGCAAGGCGTCCTCCGCCTCGGCTTGCCGGTCGGCACGGCCGAGCACCTCCTCGTACGAGGTGGGGGGACTTCTGACGAAATCTTTGTTAAGCTCGCCCGATCGGATAGAATTTGTGAGCATGGCCACCCCGGTCCTGTCATCAAGGCCCTGAACCTTGACTGACTCGGCCCTCCACCTCGCTAGGAAGGTCGACAATGATTCCTTCTTCCCCTGTTTTAGGCCGAACAGGTGGCTGAAGTTTTTCTTGACATCTCGGGAGCTCACGAACCTCAAGAGAAAGCGCTGAGCCAACTCACGGAAATTCGTGATACTCCCGTCAGGTAGAGAGTCATACCATTCACGAGCTGGGCCATCCAAAGTGTCGGAGAAACCGCGGCATCGGATGGCGTCCTCGTACCCCATCATGACCATGTAGGAAAGGTACCGAGATACATGATGCTGGGGGTCAGAAGCGCCCTTGTATGCTTCAATGGCGCAGGGCTTGTAGCCCCTCGGCAACGGCGCATCCATGACCGCCCGGGTGAAGGGTTCGGGTATCCGGAGGTCGGCCGTGTAGGGCTCCCCCCCGACGACCCTCCTTCTCAACTCGTCAAGGCGCTGTCGTAGATCTTCCACCTCGGCCGGCGGTGGGTTCCCCCGGACAGCTCCAGCGCGGGGCTGGGCATGTCCGACGGCACCTCCAAGTCGTCCGTGCACGTGAGGTCGGGGCCCCACGTTTTGCCTCTCCGTGGAGCCAGTCCGACTGCTCGCCCGGTGAGAGTGGCGAGAGGGCTCGCCTCCTTCCATCTGCGTTGGGCGCCCCTGCTGGGCGCCCCTCCCCATCTGCCGATGGGGTCGGCTAGGCTGCTGGGAGACTTCTTCCCCCCCGCCGATGGGAGACTTCTTCCCACCTGTTTTGGTTGGATCTAGAGCGTCGCTCATCACGCCGCCTGGAGGACACCTCCACATCCGCTGGCGTCTGTTGACGGGCATGCTCATCCACATTTCCGCCAGACACCATCTGTTGGAAATTTTGAGCCAAGGTCCCCAGAACCCTAGTTGCCTCCTGCAGGGCTTCCACCCCGGCATTGAGTCGAGCCGGGTCCATGCGCGGAGCATGACGTCGCCCCCCCTGCCGGCTGCGGACCGAGCGCTCACCTTGGATGTGGTTGAGCGTCGCCCTTAGGTCGCCGTGGCCTGATAATTGGTTCCGAAGGTCGCCTTGGCGCGCCGCCCTCCTGCCCTGTGCATGGTTGTCGAGGGCACGCTGGCGGCCAGACCGGGTGGACTCCTCGGTGTGGACTGAGACATGGTCACGTCGAGACGAGATTCCGGCCATCTTCCTGTGTGATTCCTACTCAAGTTATGTGAGAGACAATAGAGGCTCTCAATGAAAGCACCAATGTTGGTCCAAAATAGGACGCTCGTAGGCTTTTAGGAAAACTACGTACGACACTCAAGCAAGAATTAGGAAAGTACGAATATGGAAAGTTAGCCAGAAATAGCATATCTGTATTTGAAATTCGAATTACCTTTTATAGGCGATTACAAATGGTAAATGCCGAACATAATAATGACTAAATTAATAACAACATTAATACAGAATTAAACACATAATTAAGTCGCGCATTGATTGATGGCCGTTACTCTTCCTGGCTGGCAGGTCAGTCTGGCTGGCAGGCTGGACGCTTGAGCTCCCTCCTGCTGGACTGGACGGTGGGCTTCCCGCTAGGCTGGAGGAAGGTTTCTGACCGGCCTGGAGGCAGGCTCCCGGGTAGGCTGGAAGGCAGGCTCCCGGGTAGGCTGGAAGGCAGGCTCCCCGTTGGGCTGGAGGCAGGCTCCCACCTGGGCTGGACCGCAGGCTCCCAGTTGGGCTGAACCGCAGGCTCCCAGCTGGGCTGAATCGCAGGCTCCCAGCTGGGCTGGTGGTCGACAGGCTCCTGGCTAGACTGGAAGGCAGGCTTCCGGTTGGGCCGGTAGGCAGGCTTCCTGTTGGGCTGGAAGGTAGGTTGCTGAGTGGGCTGGTAGGCAGGCTCCCTGCTAGGCTGGAGGCAGGCGCCTGGCCAGGATGGAAGGCAGGCCGCTGGCTGGGCTGGACGGCAGGCTGCTGACTGGGCTGGTAGGCAGGCTTCCTGCTGACTGAGCCTGATAGTGACCTTTAAAACGGAGGAACAAACTTTAATCTCTATATTTGATTGAATGTTCTTTATATGAAAACATAAGTATCAAATTAACTAAAATATGAGGTCCTATGATAATTTGAAAATATTAATATTTTGTAACAATAACATTATTAATTATAAGGGAAAGTACCTTAAATAGAATTAAAAATGTTTGTATATTCTAAAATAGAACTATCATGTTTTTATGCTCAAAATAAGACCAATTATTATCGTGTTTTGGCAATACCATACTTTAAACATAACATTATTTTTCAAACTTGACAGTAATTACTCTTATTTTGGGAATAAAAACATAGTGGTTTTATTTTGAAATTTTCTGACTTATGAATATATATATATATATATATATAGGGAGGGGATCAGCTGAGAAGTGCCCTTAGACTGAGAAGATGAGAAGTCTAACTTATAAGCAAAAAACACGAACTTTTAACCAAAAAATCATAACTTATAGACCCCCTCAAAAACACGAACTTTCTGCAAAAAAATTTTCCAGGTTTCTGGAGTTATTTTGATGCGGTGACATTTTCATATATTTTTTGGAGGGGGTCTATAAGTTATGATTTATTGGTTAAAAGTTCGTGTTTTGAGCTTATAAGTTAGACTTCTCAGGTTCTCAGTCTAAGGGGGACTTCTCACATGATCTTTTCTATATATATACTCCCTCCGGTCCTAAATAAACTTCACACTTTGACTTCACACAAATTAAGGAAATAAATTTGACTTTACTGTAAAATACATTGTTTGATATTGTTTTGCACTATTTTGCATTGTTTTGATGTTGATAATTTGCCAAATAAAGAAGAGAAAAGAAGTGTGAAATTTATTTTGGATCTACCCAAAAAGGAAATTGTGAAGTTTGTTTAGGACCGGAGGGAGTATATATATTACATTGGAGTACTATCAAAGTTGACAGTAATAACTCCTATGGTTGTGTGTCTTGTTTTTCATTTTTACCTACTCCGTATTATTTCTGCCTTCCGTAATGTCTTAAATTCGCTTTTACTATGTAATACGTAGTAGTAAAATCAAAACCCCTTATTAGAATTGTTGCTTTAAAAGTTGATAAACCCTAGGAAAGCAAAAGCATAAAACAATTCAAAACGAATATATGATACACATATTTTTCCAAAAAAAAAAGAAAAGAAATCCCGCTCCTATGAAACCTACCATTATATTGTTTTGGCATTTAGTTTATATTTCTTGGCATTATGTTTTCATGTTTGTGTCAAACTCGGATTTGTAACTTTTAAGGCAACGAGAGGCTAATAAGGATTTGGAAGCTGACACGTGGCCCTATAGCCCAAATTCCACCGTCCTTAAATCCCTATAAATATACTACCAGTATACCCCAATATCCATTCATTTATATCAACGAAACACATCTTGAAAGAAATACCCAAATTTTGCAATTTCAATCAAGAGAAGTAAAGATTCAAAATCTCTCTACACTATAGAAAGTGCGAAGAAATATTTATTAGAATCATAATATTATGAGTGTTATGGAGAGTGGTGCTATGAAAATAGTGACCCCAAATAACACCAAATCCTCTTTGCAAGTCCAACAAGCCTCGCCGCCGCCGCCGCCGATATGGAAGACGGTAATGGTGGCGGCGATCGCCGCCGGGATTCAATTTGGCTGGGCCATTCAGCTCTCGCTCCTCACGCCGTACGTGCAGCTCCTAGGGATCAAACATAGCTACGCGCCGCTGATCTGGCTGTGTGGGCCCATATCCGGCATGTTCGTGCAGCCCATGGTGGGGTATTACAGCGACAACTGCTCCTCCCGGTTCGGCCGGCGCCGCCCTTTTATCGCTGCCGGCGCCGCCCTCGTCGCCATCGCAGTCTTTCTCATAGGCTTTGCCGCCGACATCGGGCACGCATCAGGCGACCCCGTTGGGAAAGCGATTAAGCCACGCGCCATTGCCGTTTTCATCGTTGGGTTTTGGATTCTCGACGTGGCCAATAACATGTTACAGGTAATATATTTATATTTAATTGATAAATTTGCATATATTCAAATATACAATCAAAATATAATTCGTTTATTCTAATAAAACCATGATTTTTGAATATGATATGATCAATTGAATCTCAAAATAAGAAATACTCCGTACTTCTTACTAACTAAGTTTATTAATGATATATCCTTTTATCTTAAAAGTGCTATTGTTTCTTTAATAATCATCATTATTAATAAATTAAATTAAAAAAGATCCAATTATCCACATCTAGATATATTTTCAAGCTTGACATTTTGAGTTATTTTCATAAATTGAGTAAACTTTAGTTTTTCTTGAAGTATACTCCATCTTTCCACTATTTGATCTATGTTCCACTTTTTTGAATTTATATCATGTTATAGGTAATATTTATGTGATTTTAAATTGGATGCGAACAATATAATAATTACACATTTTCCTCTAAAATTGTGCGTGAGCAATAGATATACTCCGTATGATTTAACTAAATAAATAATAAATTTATTGATTTATGTCAACATATTGTGTGTTATTAATAGAATTATTTGACTGTATTTTTAATTATATATATGTATCTATATAAATCAAACCAATTTTGGTCAAATACGATAATTCAAAACCCTAAATGAATCAATTATAGTATTATACTACATAAATTGATTCATGAGTATTGATGAACTTAAAAATACACAGTTAAAAATTGGGCTCGCCATTTGGTGACAATTTTCAGCTTATTAGGCTTTTCACTCATCTTTTTCATAAAAAACGTAAGTTTTAATGTCACGCAATGAATTGTATAATAGTTAGAAAAAGTAAGATTAAAGTTTTGTTTTTGACTGTATCTCTAAAGTTAGAGTAAATGATCATTTAGCTGTTTTTCTTATACATTTTTCATTATTTTATTAGTAAAATGTAATCTATTTTTTTTTTCTTTTTTCAATTTGAGTGTTATATGAAAGGCTCTAAATCAATCGAGTTTTTTTGGAAAGCAAATCAATCGAGTTATAAACCAAACTTTTGCAATTTTAATTTCAGAATTTAATAGCACAAAAATTTGGTTGGTTGCTAGAAAGTTCCCTCTTTTACTCTTTATCAACTTTTGTTTCTTTTTTACATTCCGGTAGGGTCCATGCAGAGCACTACTGGCTGATCTCTCCGGCGGGAGTTCGAATAGGACGCGAACGGCGAACTCCTTCTTCTCCTTCTTCATGGCGGTCGGAAATGTCCTCGGCTACGCCGCCGGCTCATACTCTACCCTTCACAAAGTTTTCCCGTTCTCCCAAACAAAGGCCTGCGACGTTTACTGCGCCAACTTGAAGAGCTGCTTCTTCATCTCCGCCGCACTTTTACTGTCGTTGACCACTCTGGCCCTGAGCACCGTCCGGGAAAGCGAGCTGCCGGTGGATGCCGTCGAGGAGAAGCTGTCGGTGACGGAGGAGAAGTCAACGTCAAAGTTGCCGTTTTTCGGGGAAATATTCGGTGCCCTGCGGGACCTTCCAAGGCCCATGTGGATCCTCCTGCTAGTCACGTGCCTCAACTGGGTCGCGTGGTTCCCTTTTTTCTTGTTTGACACGGACTGGATGGGGAAGGAAGTTTACGGAGGTAACCCTGACGGAAACACTAACGGCGAGGGACGGCTGTACGAGCGGGGGGTTCAAGCCGGCTCGCTGGGTCTCATGCTCAACTCGGTGGTTTTGGGGTGCATGTCTCTCGTTGTGGAGTTGCTGGCTCGGCGGCTCGGCGGCGTGAAGAAGCTGTGGGGCGGCGTCAACTTTCTCTTGGCTGGTTGCTTGGCCATGACGATTTGGGTCAGCCGAGCCGCGGAGAAGTCACGGCGGTACGGTGCGGATGGGTCACTCTTGGCTCCGTCAGCGGGAGTCAAGGCTGGAGCGTTGACCCTCTTCTCCGTTCTTGGGATTCCACTTGCGGTAAACTTCCTTACTCAAAATTTACCGTTTTCCTTTTTTTACTGCGCTCCATACGCCATGTTTCCTAACTTTATTTAGAATTAAAAAAAAAACCAATGTTTGGACTTAAAACTTATTGGGCCGGTACAATTAGTTAAGTTTTTCTTATATAAACTTATAAAAAAGTCAATGTTTAAACTTAAAATTTAGTAGGCTTTTCCGCCAGTCCTTATAGTGTTGGAAGTCTAGATAAAAGATCTCTCTCTAATCCAAACCAATCAAATTTCTAGATTTCTGCTAGAAATTAAAGAAAAACTCGAAGATAGCTTCACACTTTCTAACATACAATAAACATTAAGTTCTTTGAAAAATAAGCTTATTTCACTTCTTTTTTTGAAACATTTTTCTTATATTAACGAGACTACTTAAATCTTTTTTTGAGAATAAAATGTACTACGTACTTAAATTTCGTTAATAGCTTTATTCATGTTTTCCTCTCTTTTTTGAACAATTTCTTTAAAAATTTGGGTCTGTTTTTTATAAACATGACTCTTTTGTACTCTTTTCAACATAATATTTTGCTAATTTTAACTAATGATTTTTTATAATATTGGAGTATTAGTTTCGACAAATTAAATTTGGAGTATTGGAGAAGAAACAGGTCCCATCGATCTCCTCCTTTCATTGTTTTTTATTTAAATAATTATAATTTGGAATACGGAGCATTTAATTTAATCCGGCGATGAGACACATTTTCTATAGGGATTTGGTTACACGTCTTAATTTGGTGTGTGTTATTTTAGCTAGACAAGCAGTGAATTAGAAGATGTTTAATGCTTCGTGCGATCCATTTTGGGTTTAATCTGTTTAGCCGTTTAGGCCGAATTATATAAGGTGTACTAAATGTTCTTAATTAAATAAGTATTTGATAACTAAGTTATTAATTTAAAGGACTTCATTTATATATTTATTATTATAAATATTTTTTCCCAAAACAATCCGGCCACCCCAATTTCCACACTTGTTAATAGTAGAGTATATACTATATGCTTTTTATAATTATCCATTAAAAATAAAATTAGTCTTTGAGTGATTATTTTAAATATTTAGCAAGGTCATGTTTAATTAAGCTGAGGCTATCAACGTTTCATCTAAACGTTCTCAAAACAATGAGACAAACGATTTGCGGTGACACGTCATGCATGTTATGTGTGGTTTTAGTGAGACAATTAGAAGGATATTATTTAATGCTTTTCCAGTTTATTTTGGGTTTTATCATATAAAACTACGGAATTTATATATATTATATTCCAATTTAGCTCCTTAAATTTATCTACGTTCAACGATTTTATCCTAATGTTTTTTCTCTTTTCTTAGGAACTGCATACATGAAATAGTGTAACTTTTATTGAGAATTTGAGGTGTTAATTTTACTATTTAATTACTTGTTTTCTCAAATATATATACCCCTTCATTTTTTACAATCCAAATACTTAATTTTATAAGAATTCAATTCATCAAATAAAGGTTTGCTTGTGTCAAGGTATCAAAAGTAGCCACCGAAAGCAACAAACCGCAATAATTTATTAAGGTCATAATTATTAGGGAGCAGAAGAGAATTTTCAATTAGGGATAAGTATTAAAACCATCCATAAGGATGATCTAATCTCGTAGAACACGATATAACTTATGATTGAACTTTTAACTTTTTCGATGGTGGAATTTATTCATCGTATATGAGGGTGAAGAATATATTCCATGATCAATCATGGCCTTTATTAAGGTGGCCGGATATTGATTCGCTAATTATTATTCATTAACCGAGTATCAAATTACTGTTAAAGTTGCCTTCTGGCCTTTAGGATTATTACATACAACAAGTGGTAAAGAAATGAAGATTTTCTACTTTTAACCACAACAAAGTAAAAAATGAAAAATCAAAGTGAAAGTAGGTAGAAATATATAAAAGAAAAACGTATAATCAACAAAATAATTCATAAAAGTTTATAGATAATGACACTCAAGTACGTAGTAAAAGTCAAATATTAAATAAATCTTTTGTTATTAAGAAAATTGATCAAAGAATTATTGAATTCTTTAACAAAAGTAAAACTTGTGGAATTTGTAGATTCTCTTTGCTTTATATATAGATCATAGTATTTAATGATTAATCCTATCTCGTATAATTTATTATCAAAGTAAAACTCAAGACAGTGTGATCTATACATACAATTTTTATCACCCATTAATATATACTTCCTCCGTTTCTAAAAGAAAGTCACGGTTTGACTTCGTGATTAGTAAGAAAATAAATTAACTTTACTGTAGAAAACACTGTTTATACACTGTTTGACACTGTTTAGACACTGTTTGACACTGTTTCGCTCTGTTCGACACTGTTTGGAGGTATATTTCTTTGCCAAATAAGGAAATAAGGGAAGTGTGACTTCCTTTTTGTAACATCTCAAAAAGGAAAGTGTGAGTTTCATAAATATATTTGTCACGTTTATACGGAGTATATCATTGAATTGAGACTTAATTGAGCTGAGGGTCACCCTTATTATCTTTATATCTGAATTTTTACCTCACTACTGTTATCTTTTAATTTGTAGAAAATGAAGATTATGACTAACGTTTTTTGTATTTTTCTCCTTTCCTAATCATTATTTTATCGTATTACCTTCAAAATAGACGACAAAACGTACTACGAATAAAAAACTTAAATTATAAGTAGTACGTTTGAGTGCATAAAGTATGATATGACGGAGTATAATTAATTAAGTCATTTATATTCCCTTTTGGTAGAAAATTTGACCAACTTCTAACCTATTTTATTTCTTAGATTTATTTCATTCCCCAATCATCTCAAGTTCCAATATGCAGGTTAAACAAAATTGGATGACATTAATTTCATGATTTTATATTATTTGTTTGTGCAGGTGACTTATAGCATTCCCTTCGCTTTGGCATCGATTTTTTCTAGTAACACCGGTGCAGGCCAAGGTAAACTATAAACTACTCCGTATTAAACATATAATATGGTACAATTACTATGATTTTATCATATGAATTAATGTTTCCTAAGTGTAACGAATAGCCCATATTAGCCTTATAATATTATTATATGGAGTATATGAATTTGGCCCTACCTATAAAAATGTGTTGTGTTAGATCAAATCCATGAATTGTTTCATCAACTAATTTCGACATTGTTCGATTCACTAACTTTCAGGTCTCTCCCTTGGTGTTCTCAATCTCGGAATTGTAATGCCACAGGTACATACATCTCCAAACTTCTACTACCTGTCTCGTAAAATTCTTCTCACTTTCCTTTTTGGGTCGTTCCAAAAAATTCTTCTCACTTACCATTTTTGAACAATTTGTGTGGTTCACATTCATTTCACTTTTTCTTACACAATTACAACCATACATTTCCACTTTATTACACTTTCTTAATATGCGTGTCAAGTCAAACTGAGAAGAATTTTCTGGGAGGGAGGGAGTGTTTTATGCATAGTTTGTGGGTGAAAGTCACGTGTCAACAAACCTAATTGATGTTTTGAAATGGACTTGTTTTAGCGATCGGATCAAATCAAACTAGATCATTATTGAACCATACCTGATCAAATTACAATCTAATTAAAAACATTCCGATTAGCGATTTGGCACAACCATGTAAGATTATTAGTTGTGGAAATGATTAATTAATGTGAATAAATGCTTAATTAGTGCATAATCGATCCCAATCCAAAATAATTTTGGCGTTTGGCACAATGATAGAAGCCTTATGGAATCCCTGCACCGTCTAGAAATGATACAATTAGAGACTTTAATGCGCTAAAGCATATTGCCATTTATTTAAGAACAAAATTAAAGTTTCTTGATTTATAATTGATGGCGTATCCATCTAAGAGAAGATGATAGATTTAGTCAAAAATAGTGTCACATTCGATCTGACATTCTTTTCATTTAAAAAATAATGCAGTATGTATTAATTAGTTCCTAAGAAACAAATAGCTTACGGGGTAAAGTGAAAAAGAAAACAGTCTAATTATGTTTTATTTCATAAATACATAGTCCTAATAACAAAATAAAGAAGTTACAACTTGTATTTGATTGAATGAAGAGAAAGGGGAAAGAAACAACGATTGCTCTATTTGATAAAAATGTCTTAATTATCTTATTTTTTTTTTAAATTACGATACTCTCTTAATAATGCATGTACTCTATTTGATATTATTTGAGCAGTAAATGAATCTTGTTTTTAGGATAACAATTAAATTTACGTTTAAGAATATAATGTTCTTAAAACGTACTTACTGATGTTTATCTTTTACTCGTCCTGTCGCCCACATGCACGACCCGTATACTTGCTAAATTAGCTAGTGAAATTAAAGTTCTATATATAGTTAAAATTTAATTAGAAAAGATAAACATGTACCATATCAACTACGGAACTACCGAATACAAATTTAGTAATCATGATTACCTCAATTAGACATATAATCAATTACGATCAATTATAAAAGTTATTACTGTGTTAAGATGTGAAGTTCCATCCAAAAAGGTCAACCTGATAGGAGGAGTATCTCATGTCTTAATATAGTACTTTGCTGATTCAAACTTTTCCGGTGTGGGATTCTAACACCCCTCCTCACGACCTGATATACTACCTCCATCTTGAAAAGGTTAACTATATTGACCTTTTGTGGTTAATAATACTACATAGTAAACTTTAGATAATGATTTTAATTATTACATTTGTATATAATTTATAAATTTATACTTTCATGAAAGTATTTTAAATTAGAAACACTTGATATAGTTTTAATATTCTAAATAATTTCATATTAAAAAATATAATTGGTCAAAGTTGAAATTTTTGGGACGTAGAGAATATTACATACTCCTATTTAATTGTTTATAAATCATCCTATTTAATTTTTGGGACATAGGGAAATATAATTGTTTACATACTTTCTTTAAGTGTTGATTCGACTTTCTTTAATTTGCAGTATTTAATTGAGATTTCAGTCAAAGTAGTATTGTTTAGAATTGAAATTTCCCTGAATAAGAGTAAAAACATTTTTGAAATTCCAAAATGGTACATTCACGTTTTTATTCCCTAAATATAAGAGCAATTTGTGTCAAATTAAAAAAAATGCTATGTTTAGAACCTGGTAATGTCAGACTTGACTGAAATCACTTCTATTTAATAAATAAGAACATGTCAGCTCCATTTTGGAATTTTATAAAATATTCCTTATATGGTTATACTCGGTAATTGCTCACTTGTTATTGAATGCATAAATATTGTGTATATGTATATGATGTAATATATGCATATATGTGATGAAATGATGATGATGATGAAACAGATGATGGTATCGCTAGTGGGTGGACCATGGGACGAGCTATTCGGAGGTGGGAACTTGCCAGCATTCATAGTAGGGGCGGTTTCAGCAGCTCTTAGTGGGATTTTTGCCATCACTTTGCTTCCTTCTCCTCCCCCAGACGCCAGAGTTCCAGTCACCGCTGCTTTCCACTGATCCATGGGGATTATTAATTAATTACACACAGTAATTATATTGTCATCAGTAAATTAATGTCTTTTAATCACCAGCCGGTCGATCTGTGATCGGATTGGGTGCCTTTTTCCCACCTCAGTAAATTTGCCTTTTCTTTTTATTTTCAAGTCATAAACATGCAACAATTAAGCTATGTAGGTGGACGACATGCATGTTTTGCCAGCAAAGTTCGATCCGCCTTAATTAGCTAGCTTGTTAATGTGAATTATATATATAGTAATTAGTTCATGCATGCAGTTAATTATGTAATTATATATGTATGTCTAGCGCATCTAGCTTAGCTTAGCTTATTTCATAGCAAGCTAGCTAGATAGGCCAACAATTTTAATTAATTACTTGGCCGGGTGAGAGATATTATTGTTAATTCACTTATAATTTCATATGTGCAATTATATATCTCAGCTAAGATGTCAGGTTGGTTGATGTGTGTGTGTATATGTGAAATAAATTTCACTTTTCGATCCTACAAGTATCGAATCAATTTCACAATTGATCCATACTTTCGACTTTGATTACTTTTGTTACAAGACTATTTTTTAATCAGGTACCTATCATTCATTTGACTGTTTCAAGTCATTTTATCACTTTTAATTTCATTTGAATAACTCAACTATACCATTTTGATCGATCAATATGGTCGGACAAATATATAATACTTTATGGGTATCATAAAATTTATGTGAATTAATTCTTTCGTCATCACTACCACTCTACCCAAAACATCATACTCCGTTTAAAATAAACAACCTTTAATTTGTTCTATCCCCTTTCCCTTTAAATTGAATTGGTACACCAACTAACTTTTAGAACATGGTAGCAAGACTTGAATCTTACATCTCATCCTTTTATGAGCTTGTGAGTTAACTATCCTCATTGCCTGGAATCTATCTGCCGGTACAGAAACCCATTAAACAATAACCCCAAACCTAAATCGTGTTTATGATTTCTAGCTAATTCCATTATGGGTTCAAAATCCGCAATCATATTAGTAATTAAAAAAATACATTATTTATTGTCATCTACAAAACTCTCATTAATTATCTTCATGAAAAGTTATATTACAAGCACCAAAAAGTCTTTACACTAATAATCATTCTCTTCAAATCAACTCTCCGATGCTCCAACATCTACCAGACTCCTTTTCTTGATTTGTTAATAGTTTTTATCTTGAGAAACATATTTGGCGGTGCTAAAGTTGTTACTGTCCCTATATAAATTTCACTACTAACACTAACTATAGAGTGTAAATCACATCTTTAAATGCGTGTAATATAGTGTTTAGAATAAAATCAATGAATTTTGTGATCAATTTCGATTGCGGTTTTAATTACTTGGTTTTAATTACTTGGTTTTACTAATTTCCCTTCGGTGGCGTTTTCCCCATTTTTTCTGTTCTTTGAGTCCACGTTTCATCCCGTGCTCGATTCTTGAACTCTTTCTTCTTCAAATTCATCCTCTTCGTGTGTAGTAAGTCCTCTTTGCTTTTCAATTTACCTCGCAAGTGTATATAAATCTTAAATTAAACTCTTCAACGCCAGTGTCTGTCTCAATTTTCTGTTTCAATTCTAAAAATACCAAATGCAAACAAAAACGGAAAACCCAATAAATCATAACTTGAGTTAAATTTGCACTTGTGACTCATTTTAGCTAGGGAAATTGTACAAAACAAATTCCGGAATTATAAATATATTTCATTGCCCTTTACAAAACAAAAACTTGTTTTTAGGATTTAGTTCTATTAAATCCGGTACAATTTAATTTTAATTGCATCCTCATAAAGGTTCTGTGTATTTTAAATTATTTACTTTATCCCATAAAATTATATTTGTGAAAAAACGTAAAATGATAATGTTAATATAAAGTTTTATATAAATGATTTTCTCCTTATTTTAATTATTCCCGCAAAATCATTGTTGCCCTTCTCCCTCGTTGAGATGAGAGAGCAAAAACGTGTAAATGCACATATCTGCCACGAGCTTATGACCCATCAACTCTGCACCAATCTCCCATTCTCCCTAACTCCCACATCCATTTTCTCTTTCACCCGCATTCATCTTCGACACAGATGCACATATCTAAGATAATTTTGAAAACCAAAGTTGTCTTGTGTTTTTTATTTATTGGCTCTGGGTTTTTCTCTGAGAGCATTTGTTGGTCCGCGCGGGTATGCAGTGCCAGCAATCTGCCAGCCTGCCGGTGCAATCGAACCGTGTGGGCTTCGTTTGTGCTATAAAGGGATAGGGGCATGCTACACTATCAGCGATTCATTTTAGTGTAGCGGTAATCGCAACGATCTACAAGTGGTATCAGAGCCAAGGTCACGGGTTCGACCCCCCGGCAACAGAATGTTGCGCAGTTGAGGCTGGCAGGTGCTAGGGGGAGATTGTTGGGCTGTGGGTATGCGGCGCCAGCAATCTGCCAATCTGCTAGTGCAATCGAACCGCGTGGCGCTTCGCTTGTGCTATAAAGGGAGAGGAGCGTGCTACACTAAAAGCAATCGCTGATAGTGTAGCACACTCCACTATCCACGGTAAGCGCAACGATCCACAACATTGATTAGCGTCGGGGTTTTGAATCTACATTCTTGGAAATTCAGATGAGAATTAAATCCTCGATTGGTTATCCAGAAACCTTAGAAGCGTCTGTATCATGATCACGCATAACTTGATAGGTAGTTTAGATCACTGAGATGCATTTTTAGACACTTAAGCTCTGATGGAATTTATATACTCAAATTCAAATTTAACATAAAATTTGCAATTTTTTAGGAATAAGGATGACCCTGATATCCCAAAAATTCTATTATCTTCTGTGTTATACAGTGCTCTTCTTGAATGTATTCTTGATATAATTGAAAGATAACTTTAACGGCAAAAACTTAGATGAGATTATGCAACTTATGAGAGACTGAAGTAGTTTTGCCAATTTTTGTCTTGAGTCTGATATTTTTTGTGTCGTGATGAAATTGTTACTTGCTGTGATAGTTAAGGTATAGCTGTGAAATGGGCGCGAGGTTGATACGGAAACTTATAATGTTTTATTTCATGAAGCAAATGCCCCGTTTTTTATATATTTATCCGAGAAACTTGATAGCACATCTCTTCATCTTGGTGCTTATAGAGTAATAGGTTTATACTAATCATACTTAATCATGTTTGTGATGGTTCAAATTAGAATCAATTTTCAAATACAGACCTACTCTCAAACTATTAGGATGAGTTCAAGTGGCTTCTATGGTAAACTAGATCTGCTTGTTTGGTTGTTCCTTTGAGTAGATGTAGGAAAGTATATAAGCAATCCATTTTCACTTTGATTCTTTTGTTTCATTTTCTTGTTATCCTTTTTCTTTCTTGTTGGGTGGGGATTAAGGCATTTGTTCATGATAAAAGGTGTAGGAAAAGACTCAAATGAAGTGAAGGCCTCCAGTTTGAACAAATGTCAATGTTGATTAAAAAAGGAAATTGTATCCCCAATATACAATACGTAGTATCTTTTTCTGGGTAAAGTCACTCATAGAGAAAAAATGTAGTCATTTATAGTTTAAAATGAAACTTACTTGGTGCTTTGTTTCAACTCTCAGGTAATGAGCATTAAAGCAGCTGGCATTGCAATAAAGCTTCCACTGGAGGGCTCAAGTGAAGTTGCACATCTTCAAACATGGGTTTTTGTAACAGTTGCAGTTACGTGTATCATTATTCAGCTCAATTACTTGAAAAAGGTAAGTTTTAGATACTATATGCTTCACATTTCCTCTCCCTTTTCACTTCGTAAAAACAACGTTGGAACAGTTTTAAGTGAAAACAATGATAAAAAAATTCCCTCTATCCCAAAATGTAAGATATATTTGTGTTTGGCATAGGTTTTAGGAAAATACAGCAGTGGACCAGGATTGCTCGGTCGTCGACCGGACTGGACACGGACCGCCAGGTCATTGACCGGATCATATAAGGACTGTCGGGTCGTTGACCAGACCGGACTGAAACTGACACCGGAGCGGGATCTTATCCAACACTAGGCGTAAGTATGCAAATTCATTGCAGTGACATTGCAACATCTGCATTTTCCAAATTTGGAAAACTAGTAAAAGTCGCTTCTTCCATTCATCAAGAAAAAAAAGACACACCTCATTTTTTTGGTTTTGGAAAACGATTTGGTAAACACAATTTTTTGTTTTCCTTTCTCCAGCTTTTTAACATTTTTTTTTGTAAACACGTTTTCTGTTTTTCTTTTTCCAATTTTCTGAAAAACTGGAAAATATCTCTGTTAGTAAACACGCCCTTCTTATTTTACAATTCCAATCTTCTAAAATCATTTTTTAAAACGATTTTGAAAAATATTACTCCCCTTGTCCCATAATGTAAGATACATTTGTGATTGGTCCAAGTTTTAAGAAAATAAAGGAAATAATTGTTACTCTACAACTGCAACCTTCTAAAAGGAAGAAAAATCAATATGGTCTACAAAAAGTAGAAGGTAACATAGTAAATAATAGGACAAAGTGGTAGCGTAGAAAGTCGATGAAGTACAAATTAGGAAGATGTTCATAACTTTGGGACTTATGAAAACTAAAGTGTATAAATGAAATAGAGGGAATAATTTGTGCATCTTGTATCAAAACTAAGGTATACATGATTATTTATTTTTTTAGATCACTTGGCTTTTTTATAACAAAAACACTTAGTTTTGATTTTGGGGGTCCATCACGTTCTCGGGCATGAGCTCTGCTGTGTTAGCTAAACATTTTATCAACTTAATTAAACGTTTTCGAAGTTGATCCATACTTTTGTATCTTTTTCAGGTTCTGGACACATTTAACACAATTGTCGTTTCTCCAATCTATTATGCGATGTTCACATCACTTACAATTGCAGCCAATGTCATAATGTTTAGGGTATTTTTTTATTATGTACAAGTACAACTAGAAAGTCTCCGCATACATAAAAGATCAATGTGCTTTGACATTGTGTCGATCCTCTATGGGTTTCTGATTGTGCTTTCTGGCACTATGGTTCTTCACAGCACTAGATATCCCGACCCCCTCCTTGTTCAGGTATAAAAATTTTCATCTACATGTGACATTTCTTGTATTGCTTTAGTTGTTTCTTTCAATGCCCCCTTCTTCTAATGCTGCAATTTATATAATGAAGTGAACTAATATGATCAAACAAAACTTCTAATTGCATTTTAAATTGATAGTGTTCTTTGCATGTGGCATGGTTGAGCAAATGGGTCCTGATCGGATGATTAGTGGTCAGCCTCCGTGCGTTAAACGGGTGACTTAGTGATATTTAACTCTATAAGAATACTAAATAAACTAAATTTCTTATTTCTGGCATGGAGACTTGTGCTTCCCAATGATCATGGATTAAATGATGCTGCAGTTTGTGCTTCTAATCTTTTTCTTATTTTTCAGGGGATCATCGTGTGATGATTAATGGTTTGTTGTTGCATTGATTACTTGCAGATTTATACACTCAACTTTTGCCA